AAAAAAAAAAAAAAAAACTACATTGAAATTTTATATTACCCTAGAAAGAATGGTTATCGTCAAGAAATCAAATAATAACAAATGCTGGTGAGGCTGCAAGAAAACAGGAACCCTTCTACATTGCTGGTGGGAATGTAAACTAGTATAACCACTGTGGAAATCAGTATGGAGATTCTCAAATAACTAGAAATAGAAATCCCATGTAACCCAGCTATTGCTCTTCTAAATATCTTCCTGAAAGAGTTGAATGTATCATATTATAATGGTTCACACACACACTCATGTATAGCGCACAATTCACAATGGGTAAATCTTGGAAGTGGCCTCTATGTGCCTCAATGGATAGATGGAAACAGAAACTGTGGCCTTTACACACGGTGGAGCACTACTCTGCCACAGAGGCAGCCAGAATCTGTGAGAAGATGGGTGCACCTCGAGACCATCACATTAAGTGAAATAAATCAGACCCACATAAGTATCACGTGGTTTCTCTTCCACGAGAAACCCAAAGCATAAATAAAGAGCGAAACAAAAGATACAGAACAGGAAGTAGGGAAGAAAACCCTTCTCAAAAGGGAAGGAGATCAAAAGACGTTGTGAGGGAGGAGGAGAGGGATAGAAAGGGGATGAAAAGGAGTAAGATATACTATGTACAAGTACCAACTCCGCACAAGGAACATAAACATTGTGTACTACACACAAGTACTAATTCTTAAAAATACAGAGCTAGCCAGCTCCCCCAGCACACTCAGTCAATCAGCAAACATTCTCAAGTAACTGCTGTGTCACTTAGACCAAGACACTGTGATACCAAGGTAAGCAAGTCACAGGTCTTGTCCCCAGGGTCGGCAAGGTGTGGAAGTGGAAAGTACAGCTAAATGCACACTAGGATACGGGAGCACAGAAGTGAGTTACCAAGCAGACAAGCAGCTCACACATGGAGGACTTCCTGGAGGAAATAAGTTGGAGAGGGGACCTGAAGAATAAATAAGAGTTAGACAGGGCTGGGGATTTAACTCAGTGGTTCCAACTCCTGCTTCACAAGCACAAGGTCCTGAGTTCAATACCTGGTACCAAAAAAGAAAATAAATAAATAGGAAAAGGGAGTGGAGGGGTGATCTAGGCAGCAGAACAACTCATTCAAAGGCTCACAGGGAAGACAATGCAAGGGAGTGTCAGAGAAATTGACATTTCCCCAGCAGCCTGAGCTAGAACAAGCCAGGCAAATCTGCTTTACACCCTCTAAGTAGGTGTTGGATCTTTGATCTGTACTCAGCTACCCGGAGGGAGGACAGGGTGCTGTCTGCACTGGGGACGCTTTCTCCCTCCAGGGGGAGACAAGGGCCAGAAAGCAAGATATCTAGGGAGCCTCTGCCATTGGCCACATCCTCACCTTGAGCACCTCTACCAACCAGGAGCTTTCTGCTTCCCGAGGCCGCCCATCCTGAAGAAGCCGCAGTCACAGGGAAAGCTATTTCCTCAAAGCCAAAGAGACCGACCTCCCTAACACACCCCTCCGTGGTCTTCCTATCTGGAGGCTTCTAAATGCTTCGGCCTCGCCAAAATTTGAAGAGGGTGTTCATGTTTCCCCTCCATCCCAACCCAGACCTCTCCCTTCCATCTTGAGTGGGGAACACAACTAAAGAATTATACTGGACAGTGCCACATGCTGGACCACACCAGAGCTCTGGAAGGATTTTTATAGGGCAGGGGCTGTCGAGAGCAGGCAGGCGTATTACACGAGGAGAAATCCTGGGGCTTGGAAGAAGAGGGTTTGGCCAAGGGAGAGGAGATGCCATTAGGAGGGGGAATAGCCCATACAAAGGCACTTTGGGAATCTCTATCTGTTTTGCCAGTAGCCTTTCATATCCTTAATACAAATTAATATATTTCCTATAAAAACTTCAGAAAATTATAGATGAGCCAAGGGAAAGAATAAAAATGACTACAATTCCACTACCACCCCAAACGGCCCAATTGGTGTTTTCATACATACTCTTCAAGACCTTTATCTCCATGTGTGTGAGTTCTGTGTGTGTTTCAACCAGCCTTGCGCTGTTCCAGACCATGAGCTATTTGTCTCCAGCTTTATTTTGAAAGCTGTATTTGTCTTGTCTTGAGTGGACAGACCATTATTCATGCATCCAAACCACTGTTGTTGGACAAGGAGGCTATTCTTTCTCTTTAAAAACAACAACAACAACTTAATGTTACCAATGAACCTGGGAGTTCCCAAGTTCGCTAACAATCCAAATGTCTTCCTTTCTATTAATTTCTGCATAACCACAGACCTTCATGACCACAGGCATCCCATTCCCTCATCAGATTCCTCCCTTTGGGCTAGATGGGGTCACAGCTTGTCCCTAGGTCAGCTACCTTGGTCCAGAACTGCTTTCTCCCCCTATGGGGTCTCTTGGTGGCATTTTGTAACTTGTTCCTCTGCCTGTAGTCTCCCTACACCACCATGTCTCTAAAGTCATCAGATGCCCTATATTCATCCTGGTCCCTTCAGGAACACCAAAAGAGCTTGAGTCTTTCCAACCAAGGGACTTTAATGCCTGTAACTAGATGATGGGAGAATTGGAGTTCATTTAGGACCAGGAAGCAGCCAGAGATTCACCATAGCAGAAAGCAGCTCCATCCTTCTAGATTAACAGAAAGATGGGGCAGTAGATGTTGCTTGAACCCAGGATTGGCCACTTGATAGCACTAGGAAGCAGCTTGGCTAGAGGGACTGTCTGACAGGAGTGAGAGCCCCAGAGACTCAGCCACTACTGGAGATGCCACCCATGGCTGAGAATTCCCTGACCTCCTCAGCCCTGCAACCTGCCATGGGCTCACCCTATCAGGAAGCTGCTAACAAAGGCCTCTGGGAAATGTTATTTCCTACGATTACAGTAAATGACTGACACAACCTCTAACTTAGATCCTCCAAAGCACAGCTTGTATTTGGATGTTTGGTCAAACAAACTTCAGCAAAGACTTAGAGCTGGTAACAATTACAACATAGAAAAGGAAAACTAAATCATAGAGCCCTGGACATTACAGCCCATTACAACCAAAAAGTCAACCCAAGGGCTGGAAATGTAGCTTTCCTAGTATTCACAATGCCCTGGATTCTTCCCTAGCCCAACAAAACAACAACCAAATTTTCACAGGATCCTGCACAGGTCAGTCTGTTCCCAAAGGCTTTGGCCGCCATTATGCTGCTGGACTGGTCAGGGGCTGGTCCCTTTGATCAAGTCCACCCCAACTTGAGTCTAGACCCCTTCAACCTTCTCTGCAACTCACCAAGCAGTAGAAAACCATTTCCCAAACACCCACCCCCTCGTTACCGGGAAGTTCATGTTCATCTCTGTAGATACTATTCTCAGGGCAGAATGATGCTGGGCAACAGCGTCCTTCTTCTTAGGTCCCAAACCTAAAGGCCTGCAATAAATGTCGCCCCTCTCTCTAGCACAGCGGAAGAAAGCCCCAAAGCCTGAGATGAGATTTTTTCTGAACTTTTTATGGTCCCAGCTAAAAACTCAAGGTAATGTACCCAGGCCCCACCCAGCAGCCCAGCGAGCAGGAAATTGTGCCCAAGCACTGTCCACTCTGGGCTCAGCACAAGGGCCCCAGACATCCTGAATCTTCTACTCACTGCTCCAACAAAGCCAAGAAGTGAAAGCTTTGTGGCAAGGAGCATTCTGAGTTTATTTCTTTTCCTCCCTTGCCCCATTATTTTCTTCAGGGTAAATACCCTGGGAATAGAATTATTGGGACAAAAGATAGGCACATGGTACAAGCTTTGATACAGTGCCAGTTACTCTCTGCTATGCCCATATATCATGGATTCTTTGCCTTTTCTGCCTCTCAGCTCCCTGATAAACCGCTGAAGAGTCTTGGGATGAATCAGCCCCCGGACCAGATAAACAAGCCCGCCTGCCGCAGTTGGTGCTCTCTGCAGTCAGCGAGGGAACTCCCTTGGATCCCACCCAGGACGTGGAATTCCAGTGCACAGGGCCAGCCACCTTTGCACCCTTCCCCCACTACCCAGCCCTGCCCTCTCCTCCTTTCCCCGCCTTGTGCCGGGTGGAGTCACTGGCAAGGCGGCAAGGTTTCACAGCCTGCCTTCTGTGCAGGGTACGTACGGGAGGAGGCCCGGAGGGGCCCGGGCAGGGCCATGAAGACGCTCCTGACCATCCTAGCTGTCGGATCCCTGGCCGGTGAGTGCCCCATCCTCTGGTCAGATCTTCCCCATCCCAGGACCCGGGACTGAGGTTGTCGCCCCTTGCCCTGAATAGCTCATCCTGGCCAGTTTCATTTTCTTCCCTGCTCAGGCTGAACCAGGTTCCAGGCATCTTGGGGAAACAGGTAGCCAGCTTAGGGGTCTGGGAAGTGCTAGGAGGTGGGTATCTCCCAACCATGGCTTCCTCCAGGAACTCAAATGATCCAGGGGTCAAAGAATACATAGCCAGATGTCAGAATTGGGGTGCTGGATCCCCACATCCCAGCAGCTGGAGGATTGGCCTGGGGGAGTCGGACATTTTTTGACCCCTCTCATCCTTTGCCTGACTGGGGTTTGCCCATCTTTCTCTGGTTCTGAGAGAGGGGAGGAGGGATAGGCTGGTGGGAGTCACTGCTTTTCTCCTCTGGCCACTCTGGCTGGATTGGAAGAGCATTTCCTCCCAGAGTATCCCAGAGGGCTGTACTCAAGGGTCTTAAATCACCAGGGTTCTCTTGCAGACAGGACCACCAGCATCCCTTGTCAAATCCAACAAAGTGGGCTTTGGATTCATCATGGTGGAGACTAGACATGAGAGCCCAAGGTACATCTCTTCTCATGGCATGGAACCCAGGGCACTCTCTCAGGAAGCCAGAGCACAGCAGTGACAGCAGAGGGGGAGGCATGGTCTTTTGTCCAGAACAGGAATAGGTCCATGAAAGAACAAGAGCCCCTCCATGCTGTCCCTGGACCCTCTCTGCCTGTAGGCTGTGTTCCCCTGGCATTAGCTAAATAACTCCACACTCTGGGCCTGGGATGGCCAGGGATTCGCTGCAGCCCCAGAGGCTCAGAGTATGTCCTCTCTGGTGGGAAACCCTTGTGCTCCTGGCCCTTTAGCATGGGTCCCAGGAAGCAACCTGAGGAGGTTTTTTAGGGCCAGCTACACCCTCTGCAGACACAGCCCCTCACCCCTCAGTCTGGCTGAGTCCAGAGCATGTTGGATTGTTGCTGTTTTTCCTTAGCTTCCCAACCAGTTGATAGATTGTTTTTCCACACAAATGTGAAAACCTGCCTTTTATAAAGTCTGCCAGACGGCCAGCCTCCACACAACATACGTCTCCAGGTTTCACAATGTAGACTTTCACCCAGGAAGTATAGAAGTGACACAGGCAGGATGGACTTGGAGAGGGAAAGAAGCGAGTAGGGCAGGAAGTATCGCGGGACTTGTTAGCTTCTAATACCCCCTAAATGAGAGGAGCTAGCCAAGATCTTCCCACCCGGCTTCTGGAAGACAACTTCCATTCCTTCTTGAAGAGTGGTGCCAACTGCACCACCCCGGAACCCTGAGCCTCGACCACCAGCCTCCCCCAGCCCAGATAGCCTGCCTGGCACACTGACCCCAACCAGCAGCCTTTCCTACCACGGCCACGCCTACCCAACAGACCCGGTCTTCCCTCCTTTCTCACGATCACCCTCCTGCCCTTGACCTCCCCACAATGAAGCCACTCTTCAGTCTGTTTCCACTGCACTCACTCAGTTCTAGACCCAGCCCTGAACTCCAGCACCCCTCCCTCCAGAACTGCCGCCAGTTCTGCCCCGAATGGGACCCAGACCGGACGTCAGGAACATCATGGGAACAACAGCAGGGCCACGGCACTGGGTGGAGGCAGTGTAGGTAGAGTCTGTCCTACACCACCCGCGAGACACCCCCCCCCAGGGCTAGGAGCCTAGACGATAAAGGTTTCCACAGTTGGAGGAGGGGGCTTCCCAGTAACCTGAGTTGTGTGATGGCGGCGGCGGACTGACCCACTCTGCTTCCCGGCCTCGCCTTTGCAGCCCTCCTGCAGAAACTGTCTGTAGACGTGGAATGTGGCAGTAAATAACTTTCCTGGGGCTGCCTCAGGGGCGAGTCCAGCACAGGCACAGCAGACACCTACCCAGGCCTCCAAGCCTTGACTCCGCTACGTTTGCGTGTTTAGGTCCCAGGCCGCCTTGCGCATGCTCAGAGCTGACCGCCAGCCCCAGCCACAGTCAGCTGGCCCCTCTTCCTCTCCACCACCAAGGAGGTCTGTAAGTCAAGAGCTCTTCCCTTGAAGTGCAGAGCCCCCCACCTCCAACCCCTGCTTGGAGCCCAGTCTTTGCTATCCTCCCTTGTCATGAACGGCAGTAAGCTGAGCAAAGGACTGGGCTGGGACGGATGGAGGCAGACGCGTTTTTGTTTTCCTTTTATTGTTAGGGGCTGAACCCAGGGCCTTGGTCATGTTCTAAGCATACACTCTAACCCCCTGAGCTGCCCCCTGACCCCGGCTGTGTGCGCCTGTCTCTCCTCCCACCCTCCCTAGACTGGGCCCTTTATGAAAGCCCCCACCCAGCATGGGCCAGGCCCCTCCCACACATTTGTGAACATCTTCCCAGACCTCGCCTACGGTGCCCAAAAACTCTGTCACTGCCTCCTCTGACACTGGGCAACGTTGCAGTGAGTCTCAGTTGTCCTCATGGGCAAAGTGAGGATAGTGGTAGAGACCATCTCGTCAGACTGTCCTGGGGTTCAGTGAAGTGAGAGGCTTGGGTCTGACTCGGTCTTCATAAACATCAACCACTGCTCTTGTCATTATTGTCTGCAGGGTGACTTAGTTCCACCTCAGATAAAAGGAAATTAAAATTCTGATAGTTTAAACAGCAGGGGATTTGGCTCAGTGGTTCCACCACCTGCCTCACAAGCGCAAGGGCCCAAGTTCGATCCCCGGTACCAAAAACAAAAAAAACAAAAAGCAAATAATACCTTAAACAACTTCCTGGGCTGGGTGTGTAGCTCAGTGATATAGCAGTTACCCTGAATGTGTGAGGCCCTGAGTTCAAGTGTGAGCACCACACACACACACACACACACACACACATGCATACAAGCAAATTAAACGGAGTTACTTAACAATTTCACTCAGTTATAAGTCCAAGGAGATTAAAAACATATGTCCACTTAAAAATTCCTGCACAGGGCCAGGGATTTAGCTCAGCAGTTCGGTGGCCTCCCTCGCAAGCGCAAGAACCTGAGTTCGATCCCTGGCACTAAAAAAAAAATTCCTGAATATATCTTCACAGCAGTATTATTTGCAATAGCCAAAAAGTAAAGAAAACCCAGAAGTCCACCAAGTGATGAATGGATAAACAAAATGTGGTCTGTCCATGCCATGTCCGTTCCATACATGGAATATTTTCCAGCCATAAAACGGCAGCACGGGCTGACTCATGCTACCATACAGATGAACCCTCCTAAACTTTAAGATGAGAGGAAGAAGCCACAAGCAGAAAGAAATGAAGACTGTGTATGTGAAGAGTCCAAAATAGGCAAATCCAGAGAGGTGTTGCTAGGGACGGAGTTGCTGAGGGGAAGAGTGGGATTAACCAGTTTCTTTCCAGGGTGGTGAAGGTGTCCTTGAAATCAACAGCAGTGATGGGGGCACCACCCTGTTTGGGTGGCCGGGTCGCAGGTCCACGAGCCACCACTCAGCCTCTTCCCACTCTCCCGCAGCTCACATGGCTGAGGACTCCCCTGGGCTTCTTCAGCACGTGAAATTCCAGTCCAGCAACTTTGAAAACATCCTCACTTGGGACAGCAAGCCGGAGAGCATCCCAGGCACAGTCTACAGCGTGGACTACAAGACGTAGGCCTCCTGCCCCACCTGCCCCCCGAACACTGCCCACAGCCGACCCCACCCTGAACTTCCCCCTCTCCCAAGTCCCAGTGCCCTCAAAGCGCTGCTCCCATGCATTTCTGCAGAGCCAAGGTAAAAGAGTGGTTGGTTCTGCTGGCTCTGCCTAGGGAAAATGACGGTATCTTTTCATCGTAAGTTGAAATAAAATGGTGGCTGAAATAAAATGAAGTCAATAGTTGTGCCTGACAAATAAGAAGCTACCAGTAGTCGTTTTGTTATTACTGGCGAGAGGAAGTGAACACGAGGCTGTGCCCACCACCCCACCCCACGTCCCTGTGCAGCTCTTCTCTCTTCCCACCCAGCCAGGGAGGAGGATAAACAGGGGCCCAAAGTCTGCAAACCTGAGGTCCCATTCCTGGTACTGCCTCTGTGTCCTGTGGCAAGTCTCTTGCCTTCTCTGAGCCTCCATTCATCTGTGAAATGGAGAGAGGAGGGTTTGCTTTAAGGCCTGATGGTGACAGCGAGCCCATAATGTGGACTCAAACTGGCTGGGTTCAGATCCAGCTCACCACATGTACACTTCAAAAGCATGGGCGCATTTTATTCCTCCGAGACTCAGCTTCCTTATTTGAAAAGGAGGGAAAATAATATACACAGCTGAGGGGTCATTGTGAGAATCGACTGAGATCATCCACATGAAAGGCCCGGGACACAGAAGGTGCTAAGTAAATATTAGACATCGTTATCATCATTAATAAAGCACAGGCCTAGTGGAGGGCATTCGCTAACGGTGTGCCACCTCGCCCTCTCCTCCAGGTACGGAAAGCCAGAATGGCTGGCAAAGGCGGGCTGCCAACGGATCACCCGGAAGTCCTGCAACCTGACCGTGGAGACGGGCAACTTCACTGAGTTCTACTACGCCAGGGTCACGGCCATCAGCTCAGAAGGCTGGTCGGCCACCAAGATGACTGAGCGGTTCCACCCACAGCAACACAGTGAGTAGGAGCCCCGTGTGCTTGGGGTGAGGGGAGCACCAGCCTCTGAGCCCTGGAGTGGGCAGAGGGCCCAGAACGGCTCCACACCCCGGCGATGCTAGGGAGGTGGCTTTCAAGGACAGCACCTCCTACCACAGCACGTCCCCAGCAGGGACGCACCACAGCCAGGGCCACTTCACCCCTTTCCTCCTCTGCCCCTGCCCCTCCTTAGAGCATTCTGAGGGATCTGCTCAACCCCCAAATCCCACCTTCTCTTCCCTGCCTCAGACTTTCCGGCACTTTCTCCTGACCCTCAACACAAGATGTGGCTCCTTGCTGAAGCCTACACAGCCCCAGCTCTGCCCGTAGGGGCTCCTGCCTCAGAGCCCTTCTGCTCCTGCTGCCTCATGGCTCCTCACACAACAGGCTTCTTTCCAGTCTTTAGGGCTCGGTTGGTTCATGCGGACTCCTTAGAAAGTGTCCCCAGCCCAGCCCCGACTGCCTGATGTGAGCAGGTCCTTCCTGTCACTCTCCCTTCTCGGTCAGCTCCCCGCATCCACAGGGTCAGCAGCCACGGGTTCAAGGGAAAAAATCTGAAACACTTGGGTCTGTACAGAACATGTGCACACTTTTTGTCCCCTCATCATTATTCCCTAAATAATGGAAACACCGTACAATAACTCTGTACAGGGTGCTGACATTGTGTCAGGGATTGAGTCATCCAGACATGGTGTAAAGTATGTGAGAGGACTTACGTAGTCACACTCAACCACTAGGCCATTTTGTATGAGGAACTTGAGCACCCGCAGATTTGGGTATCTGCTTGGCACCCTGGAACTGCTCCTCCGGGATAGGAAGAGACCATCGCACCCTGTTCATTGTCCTTGTAGTGCACACCGCAGTTGGTAATGTTTGCCAAATGATTTTACAGCCACGTGTGATTGGAAGAAAAAGAAAAAGTTCCCTGGGCCTTTTCAAACTGGCTTATTCAGTTAATTCATCCTAAAGATAGGAAACGTAGAAATACAGATATATTCAAAGAAAAATAAATGTCGCCCCGAGTAACCTGAGCATCCAGAGCCACAGTTACTAGCAACCCTATTTGCTTTTTCTCATCTCGTGTTCTTTCCTCTGCTTTTGTGATTTTTCCTTATATGACGGTAGCATGAAATTTGCCCAAGTCATTAGATATTTACCCACGAGACGCTGTTTCACGGCAAGATGACTCATTCTTTGGAGGCATAATTTGCTTACCTGATTGCTCTTTTGAGAACATTTAGCACTATTTTTCAACTTTATAAATAGCACCAAAGTGAGCATTCTTCTTCCTCGGATGTTTTAAATTTGTGGAGTCAATGGTTCTCCCGAGGGACTTTGATAAATTACATTCAGGGTGAATGGGATCCATGAACCCCTGGAATGTGATGCAAGATTTTTGAGTGTATGTTTCAGGGGCAAGAAGGTCCACAGCATTTGTCAAAGGAGTCTCTAAACCAGTGAAAGCCATTCAGTTGATTTGAAAATTCCACCTTGAGAGAGGCTCAAGTCCAGTGTCTGGCCTTGGAGCCGAGCCCCCTGCCATGTTACTTAGTGTGTAAAGTTGAGACATCAGTCCGTGACATCCCCAAGGCCAAGCGGGGGTGGTTCCAGGCTTAAGGTGGGGACCCAGGGAATGGGATGGATGGGGGCAGAACCAGGGGTTCGAGGGCGTGACCCCATGCCCAGGGTCGCCCTTCACCAGCCTCCCATCCAGACACCAGTCATGTGCAGGACTTCGCTCTTTTTTCCCATTGGCGTAACTGATGCCTCCAGATCATTAGGGCTTGGGCCGGGAGAGGAGTGGGCACTATCATTCCTCGTCATCCACACAGCCTCAGACCATGCCAGACAGTTCTGACTTTGTCTTCTCTTTTCTCTCTCCCTTTTGTCAGCTACCATCAAGCCACCAGATGTGACTTGTGTCCCCAAAGTGAGATCCATTCAGATGATTGTCCACCCCACCCTCACGCCCATGTACAATGCAGATGGCCACCAGCTCACCCTGGAGGAGGTCTTCCAGGACCTGTTCTACCACTTGGAGCTCCACGTCAACCACACCTACCAAATGGTAAATGTATGTTGCATGCTGGTCCTTCCCTGTCTGGGGAACCCCATGTCTCCCAATTAGATCTGTGTTGCTTCATTAAAAAGATAAGGTGGTATATAAAATAGCATTTCCCAAATCATATTTCTTGGAGGGTTTCTTTGAAACCCTTGGAAATATCACAATCACCCTTGCTCTTGTGGATTCATGCACAAGTACCCAATAACATGCTGACAGCTCTGACGGCGCTGACAAGTACCTCGGGGGCAACACTTCAAAGTGGGATTTGTTTAATACAACTGTTCTCAGATGGGCGTGGTGGCGCACGCCTGTAATCCCAGCACTCAGGAGGCTGAGGCAGGAGGATTGCTGTGAGTTCGAGACCAGCCTGGGCTGCACAGTGAGTTCCAGGTCAGTCTCAACTACATAGTGAGACCCCCGTCTCAAAAATCCAAAAGGAAAAAATATATATATAACTGTTCTCAAGTTTATTTGACCAGAAAAAAAAATTTTTTGCATATAGTAGATTTTTAATTTTGCCATCTAAATTGCGGAAAACACCTAAAGTTGTAGAAAACAATCCCTCTTAGCACTCTCAGGTGTTCTCTTGGGAAAATGCGATGGAGATGATTCTGCTGCTGCAACCCTTTTGGCTGCTTCTCTGCTGTTTGCAGGGATCTATACCAGGAGTGTCTTAAGATCGATCAGGATGTGGGCCGGGGATTTAGCTCAGTGGTGCTGCCACCTGCCTCACAAGCACAAGGTCCCGAGTTCGATCCCCTGTACCAAAAATAAAAGGATCAATCAGAAGGCAAGGTGGAAGAAAAGGGTACAAATTGCCAAGTGATTGTGTTTTCAGGAAATATGTGGTACGTTCCCCCTAGCATGTGCCACTAACTCACATTAGGTCAAATGAATATTTGTTTCCAACTCTTATTCCCACTGTCAAGGAACTTACACTGTAATCTTGTGTGTGGGAACAAAGTTGAAACAAGAATTCCAACAGCTCTAGGTAGAGGAACACAAGGATATTGTGAAATGGGGCAGGATGTCAGCCCAGTGAGATCTAAGGCTTCCAGGAAACTTTCGGGTGCCCGTGGCAGTTTCTGAGTTTTGTCAGGTAATAGCTACAAGTACATATTATATTATTTGATCTTTAGCGTAGCCCTGTGAAACAGGAGTTACTAACTCCGTTCTCCAGATGGGAAAATAGAGTTTCAGAAAAGTTGAGTCACTTGGGCAAGATGGCTCAGCAAATAGCTAGGCAGGATTCCAATCCAGGCCTGTTTCAAGCCCTCTGACCCCACACACACCCCCTGCCTCCACTGCCCCACCCTGATCAGAGAGAGAAGCAGGAAAACTTGGTGCTTTTGGAGAAGGCAAAACTACCCATTTGGCTGGATCTTGGAGCCTGTAAAGCAATTTCTGACTACGTGGTCCTGGGTAACTGGCATCAGAATTTCCTATGGCACTAAGGTGAAGACCCTCGGACCCCTCCGACTCAACCCATTTCAGTGATCGCAGCTGCATCCGGGGAGGTCTGAATTTCAGTGAACACCCAGGGCTTCTTCCTCACCTTGAAGTCAAAGAGCCTCTGAGGCAGAGGCGCTTGGGAGAGAAGCTTGAGCCGACTGCCCACGCTGTAGAGCTGAAGGAGGGGGAAGGACAGAGTTTGTTTGTTTCAGAAGGCAAGGAGAACAATTAGAGGTTATTAAGGAGGAGGAGTCCTTATCACTGCTGTTTTTGATAAATATTTGGAGTTTAACTCAAGATTTTATTATTATTGATTTCCAATTTAATTCAGTTTGTGGTCAGAGAACACACTCTGCCTGATATCAGTCCTTCAAATTGATTAAGATTTGTTTTATGGCCAGCGTGTGGCCCGTCTTGGTGAATGTTCCTCATATTTCTGAAAAGAATGTGTATTGGTGGTTGTTTGGTGGAGAGCTGCATAAATATCAACTAGGCAGAGGTGGCTATTGGTGTTGCGAGGAGCCTCTGTTTCTTTCCTGACTTGGGGAGGGATCTGTTATGCTCTGAGCTGCTGAAAGAATTAGAGTTCCCACCATGAGGTGGATTTGTCTAGTTTCCTCTTCAATTCTCTGCATTTTTCTTTTATGCGTTTTGAAAGTGTTATTAGACACATGTAGTAATGATTCGTTTATCCTCCTGATACACTGGCCATTAGATCACATGAAGTGTTGTCCCTTTCTTACCTCTGGGCTAAACTCTTTGTAGTCAAATCTGCTTTATCTGATACTGATTTAGCCACTCCAGTCCTTTTATAGTTTGTATAGTATATCTTTTTACATCCATTTATTTTCAACCTGTGTTTTTCTATTAAAAGTGCATCTCTTGCCAGGTGTGGTGGCACAAACCTATAATCCCAGCACTCAGGAGGTTGAGGCAGGAGGATCCCTGTGAGTTTGAGACCAGCCTGGGATACATAGTGAGTTCCAGGTCAATCTCAACTACATAGTGAGACCCTGTCGCTGAAAACAAACAAATAAAGTGCATCTCTTGCCTGGCTTATGCACTTTCAGAAATACAGATCCTGGCCCTTAATGGAAGATGTTTGGATCACTTAAAGTAATTAGGTAAAGGGGATATGAGAGGGGATTTGTCAAAGGTGGTTTTTACACTTGGGCTTGGGTCTATAGAAGAAGAATGATGTTATTAACAAAATCAGAAAATCTGAAAGAGGTGTGGGGTAGGACAGGGCAGACCCCATCTAGGAGGTCCAGGTGTTTGTCATGCTGAGCAAGAGGCACCCCACAGTGATACTGCACAGGGAGCTGGCAGTGCCCATCGGAACTCTAGATCTTCCTGGATGTGGTGGGAGTTATCCCTACATTGGTGATCAGAGAAGCCACAGAACCAGATTACATCACTAAGTGACTACGGAGTACCAGAGAGAAGAAGAAAAAATGCATAAAGAACAATCTTGCAGAACGCCAGTTAGGGGCTAAGTCAGGGAAGAGCAGGAGAGAGGCAAGAGCCGAAGGGAGGCGGGGGACACACAGAGAGGAGATCAAGGTGCAAAAGGTTAGAGGCACACAGGAGAGTGAGCACCAGAAACCAGCGGGGAGGAGAGAGCAGCAGAGACAGAGGAGCAAGGTCTCCCCGCAGCACATCAGGTGACCAGAGGGACGGGCGCTGCACCTCCCAAGCCTGAAAAGCCAGGTGGGCTGTGGACACAGACACATGCAGGTGGGAGGCAGAGACTGGGATTGTGTCCTGCAGGCCATCCAAGGATCTGGAATAGAGAAACATCATAATTCTATTAATTTTCTGTAAAGATCACAGTGGCACAGTGAACACAGACAGGGAAGAAACCAGAGACAAGTGACTAGTAAGGAAGCCACAGCAGGAGTCCAGGCTGAGGCCCAGTTCAGGCCCAAAGGAAGGCAAGAGCAAGACGGACATTCAAAGGGCTTTTCATTTTGCTTTTGCTTTTGCTTTCCTTTCCTTTCTCTTCTTTTTCCTTCTCTTCTTTTCTTCTTTTATTCCAGTACTGGGAATTAAATCCAGGGCCTTCTCCCTGAACTACATCCCCAGCCCTTCTTGATTTTTGAAACAAGTTCTCACTAAACTACTTAGGCTGATTCTCCTGCCTCAGCCTCCCAAGTAGCTGAGATTATACTTTGTGCCAGCACTTCCAGCTTCAGAGGACTTTGGACGTTTGCTAAGGAAGGAGGAGGAAGATGAGAAAGACTGGGAGGAGGGGAGGGGTGGCCGGGGCAGTGAGCCTGGAGGCGGCAGCCGTGGTTGTTATCTGTAGGCTGCTTAAGAAGTGCAGCGCTAAGCAAAAGGCCCATGCAGCTTGGAGGCTGACTGGGTGGGAGAATAAAGAGGTCAGAGACTGGAATGAAGAGCTGCAGGCTGACGTCATCCGGGGCGGCAGCTCGGGAGGAGAGCGGGCTGGCTTGGGCTCCACTCAGACACTGGCCTTGCTCACTTTGACCCTCTGTCCAATTCAGCACCTTGAAGGGAAGCAGCGAGAGTATGAGTTCTCGGACCTGACCCCTGACACGGAATTTCTGGGGAGCATCGTGATTTCCGTTCCCACCAGGTTGAAAGAGAGCGCCCCTTACGTGTGCCGAGTGAAGACGCTGCCGGGTGAGCACTCTGGGGAATCCTGAGGGGGCGAGAAACACGGATGGACGAGAGTGAGGTCTGCAGCACGCTGCCCCCTCGCTGTACCCATGGGGAAGCTTGGCAGTGCCCTGAAAAGCCGTGGCAGGGTTATGTGTGTATTACTAAGACTGATCTTTGTTTATCACAACCACCGTAGCGGATGGTTGCCATAGCAAACGTTTAATCCCACCCTCAGCCTACGTCTGAATTTCCTCCCTCCAGCCAGTATGATGTACCCTTGCAAAGCAAACTCACCTGAATTTCAACCCAAGTGATCTGTGGCAGCCAGGGTAGGGTGGCACTGGGACTCTACATGGGGCAGAAGGGAAAGCAAAGAAGACAACAGGGTCCCTCGATTCCTTCCAAAGCCAAACAATAATGATGGCAGTGACAATAACTAGATTTTCTGCATTGCTAACCAGACACCAGGTACCACTAAGCACGAGCCTCCGATGCAGGGAATTTTAAGCAGGCATTATTAACATTCTCCTTTTACGGAGCAGGAAACCGGAGTTCAGAGCGGTTAAGTAACTCGCTCAAGGTCACACAGGTGAGGGATAGAACAAAGCCCAATTGCAGAGATGGAGTTCTCACCACTGCACTGCTCTAGAAGTGAAACTCCACTCCCGTCATAAGCATCTGATTTTTTTTTTTTCTTCTTTTTTGGTACCTTTTCACCCAGGGCCTTTTCACTGAGCCGCAACCCCAGCCATTTTCATGTTTTTATTTTGAGACAGAATCTTGCCAAATTGACCAGGCAAAGTCTCAGATTTCTGATCTTCCAGCCTCGGCCCCCTAGAGTGCTAGGATTACAGGTGTGCACCACCACGCCCTGCTTCTGATCTTTTTATTAGTGTTTCTTTTCCTAGGCAGAGAGAAATAGTGCGATTCTTCAAGCTGCAAGATTAGAATGTGAACACGATAGCCCCAAATTGGACGGATTGGGGAAAACAGTCTCTACTTTTGCCACCATGTTCAGATCAGTGTCTGTGTGTGATCTCTGCCCCAACACCAAAGTGCAGAGCTTAGCTGGGAGCGAGACACAGCCCAGGGCCAGTGTATCTGTGTCCCATTCTCGGCTTCCTGCGGAAACTCCGCTATCAGGGCCCAAGTGCCCACCGGATCCCAGAGCCTCCCCTGCAGAGATCTGCAGGTGTAGTGGACCAGCCTGCTCTTGGGTACCTTCCTGGGCAAGGCCTGGGACACCGGAGTAGAACAGGGCCAGGGGGAACTAGACAATGGAAGTGGGCACCCAGCTAGCACTGCATGCATGGTTCTCTCCCCTGGACTCCGCAGATCCTCTCGCGATGTTTCCAGCAACATGCAGACGCTCCGCACTTACCTCACCCATGAGGGGACATCATCTTTTCCAAGACCGTAGCTGTTTTTAGACAAATCACACTTCCCGATGATTATCTTTTACTGACGCATAGGTGACACCTCCTCCTTCAAAATAAAAACAATTTCTACCACTTATTAATCACTACTCTATCTCTGCTACGCTACGTGTGTCAAGTGCTTTACATCTACCCTGCGATCTTCATTGTTGCATGTTATTTATATTTAAAACAATCCTGCAAGTTGGGTCGCATCATCCCCCTTTTACGGAGGCGGAGCTCTGGCTCAGAGAGGTTCCGTGACTTGCCCATGACCACACAGCTGGTCAGCTGGTTCCGAAGCCAGGGGTCTAACTTCCACCTTGCAGTTCGGCTTCTAGCTCTTCCCTCTGACTGCACACTTATTCCCCTTCCTTCCATTTCAGAGGGCTACACGCTGCCCCTGACCCTGTCGGCCTCACCCAGAGCCCAGAATCCCCCATGATTTCTTCTTTGATGTCTGGAGGCCCACAGAGCACCGTGCCAGCCTCTTAGCACTCGAAGTAGATCTCAAGATTGTCTCACCCGTATCGTTGCTTTATGAGTACAGATGAGAGAATGGAGACATCATTAAGTACTGGCGGTGAGGAGGGGATGTGGAGGTATACATGTCAATCCTGCTTCTTCTCTCCTGAGAAGCTGTGTGACCATGGTCAAGTTGCTTAACCTCTCTGAGACTTGGCCTTGTGATCTATAAGAAAGGAGCATCCTTATCCTTAGCGTTGTTCCAATGATTTCCTGGGATGACATAGGTAGAGCACCCAGCACACTGCGTGGCCCTTAGGATGTGTTTCACAGGCAACTGGTACTAATGAAGGGGGAGATCAGAGAGGGCCGTATAGCGGGGAGAATGCTCAGCATGGGTATTCTTTACCCCAAGCTGGTGTCTTCTTACTCCATCTCACCTTCTTCTGGGCAAAATGGCACGTACAAAATGTCTCGAGCCAGGGAATGTCCCAAGTCCCTAGCTTGTCCCGGTGCAATGAGCAGCAGTTTCCCACTAAAGAGAGGCACATCGTGTGGAAACAGGAGAGGTTGATGGGGTGTCATGTGACCATGGGCAGCTGACCCGGAGAGGCCCAGGCCATGCTGGCCAGGGGAGAAGCAAGGAGTGGGCTCACAGAAGAGGCGCCAAGATTCCCAAGGTGCACTGTGCTGGCTGAAATCTCCTGGCAGTGGGGATGGAGCCATGGGCTGGGGGTCAGGAGGGGGCTTTCCCCGTACCTCCATGGAGGGAGCTCTGCAGCACCCTGCCCAGGACAGGGCCCAGCCTCACACCATCTCCCCTTCCTCCCAGATCGGACGTGGACCTACTCCTTCTCAGGCGCCATCCTCTTCTTCGCGGGCTTCCTTGTTGCTGCGCTTTGCTACCTGAGCTACAGATACATCACCAAGCCCCCTGTGCCCCCCAATTCCCTGGTAAGTCAGTCCACCTAGGCAGGAGGGAGAGGACCAGATAGTGGCCCCAAAGCTCCAGGGGACAGGGACTCCCCTGGTTCGCCCCAAAGTGCAGGGTTCCATACACAAAGGGTTAGGTCTACTGGGTCTCCTGTTGGAATTCTTGATCCAGCCCAACATAGACAAGAGTGGTGACCAGCTGGGCGTGGTAGCGCATGCCTGTAATCCCAGCACTCGGGAGGCTGAGGCAGGAGGATCTCTGTGAGTTCGAGACCAGCCTGCGTTACATAGTGAGTTTCAGGTCAGTCTCAACTACATAGTGAGACCCTGCCTCAAAAAACAAACAAACAAACAAAAAAGGTGACCAGCAGAGGGGCAGGTGACCAGGAACGGTGGATATGGAACAGCAAAGCCATGCAGCCCAAGTGTGTCCAGGGCCAGGTGGGTGACAGGACCTGAGTGCCAGCAAGGGGATTGCAGGCCAGGTGGTGTCCTGTCTTTTTTTTTTTTTTTTTTTTTTTTTAAGAAAAGTCAGAATTTCAGTTTGTAATGTGAAATCTCCCAAGTTTCAAGTAGCAGCAACTGAATTTAAACTATACCTCCCTGAGGGAACCGTGCAAGGTGCAGCCACAGCCCCTGCTGGCCGCCCAGAGCCGCCTCTTTGCCCCAGCAGCCAGACCGTCAGCACCTGGAGCGGCTGCCCTTTGAGAGGCACAGAAGCCCTGAAGGCCCCTTGCTTAATGTCCATGGGCACAGGAGCCACGTCTGTCACCTCCCCTGGTCTCCCCTGCTGCCCAGCCTTCTCCTCCCTGACCCCTGAATCAGGCCACCAAGGCTCCATGAGCCAAGCAGCACCCCCAAATCTGGGTCACCAGCTTCCTAGATTATCAACCTCCTGGGGAAACCAGACCCCTAAATCTCCTCCCAGAGAGAACATATATGTAGAAAGGGCCCTCCAGAAAGGGTCTGGAACCCCGTTTGTCTTTATAAGGTATCACTGAGGTACGGCAGGGAGGCGGGGGGGGGTGGATGAATTATTTATTCATTTGTTTATTTTTGCTACGTTGGGGATGGAACCCAGGGCCTCGTGGATTTTGCTACGGGGGATGGAACCCAGGGCCTCGTGGGTGCTAGGCAATGATTCTACCACTGAGCCACGTGCCCCAGGCCCATGCACCTGACCGGGTCCCTTCCCCAAGGAGGACCCCACCTCCCCACAGCACCGTGGGGTGCATAGGATGAGCCCTAAGGCCTGGGTGGTTGTCACTGTCTTCCTTGCACAGAATGTCCAGAGGGCGCTGACTTTCCAGCCGCTGCGCTTCATCCAGGAGCACGTGCTCATTGCTGCCGTGGACCTCAGCAGCCCCAGCGGTCGGGCCCAGCCCATGCAGTACACCCAGGTCATGGTCTCCAGGCCCAGAGAGCCCCCGGTGGCCACACCGCTGCACGGCCTGCCTGAAGTGGCCTACCTGGGGCACTCAGATGTCTCCATCCTCCGGGCTGCCAGCGTACCACCTCACCGGAAGCCCTCCCCGCCGTCCTACTCCCCGAAGGCAGCCCCTGAGGTTAGGCCCCCGTCCTACAATCCGCAGGTTGCCCCGGACGATGCCCAAGCCCTGCTCTACACTCCACAGGCCTTCTCCACAGCCCCGCCTCCCTCCTACACCTCCCAGGCCACTGGGGATGGAGGGCCTGCTTCCTATGGGGTGTGCCTGGAAGGCTGTGGCAGCAGCACCCCCCCGGGGGCGCCCTCCAGTCCCAAGCTTCTCAGGCACAAAGGTCGGCTGCAAAAGGAGGCACCGATGGGAAGCTGCATCCCGGAGGACTTCTCTCTGCAAGGAGTGACCTCTGTGACCATGGAGGGACTCCGGGAAGCGGAAGCGGAACTGTTCCACTCTCCCCTGGGCGTCTATGCAGACAGAGAGCTGGACCTGCACGTGCTACACAGTGGGGAGCCAGAGACCCCACCGTACCTACAGGGCCCGCTCTCCCTCCTCTCCTCTGTGCAGATTGAAGGCCACCCTGTGTCCCTCCCTTTGCACCCTCCTTCTCTCTCCCACTCCACCTCCAACCAGGGGCCACCTCCCTGGGGCCTGCTGGACTCCCTTGTGTGTCCCAAGGACGAGGTTCCAGTATCTGAGGCTGAGGCCCTGAGCTCAGGCCCCAGGGCCTTGGAACCAGAGTCGCCCACGGAGCTGGACTCTCTTTTCCAAGGCCTGGCCCTCACCGTGCAGTGGGAGTCCTGAGAGGAGCAGGGCTGACCTGAGCTTCCTTTGGTCCCCACCGTCATCTCTGCCTTGGCTGTCAGGCTCACGCCCAGCCAGGCCACACACTCTGCAGCCCAGCTGATGTGGAAAACTTGGGAAGGAACCCGAGGAAGGAGGACTTGGGGCCCGCTGTGGCTGAAAAATGTGATGGGGACTCCAGCTGGAAGAGCCCGGGGCAGAAGAGCGACGCGTGCACATGACAGGAGCTCTCAGAACCTGGCAGGCAGGACAGTCAGGGCACAGGGAGGTAAGGCAGGCAACCCCTGGAGACCCAGGGCTCTAGCTCTGAGCATGCTGGGCTCCGGGTTGGCAGGGAGCCTGACCCCATTCCTGGCCCGTTTCATAATCTAGCTCAGCAGAGAGTGTGGCATCTGCCCAAGGTGGGAGAAGGAGCCTGTAGTGGCAGGCTGGGCAGAACCAGAACAACCTGCTCTACTGCCAAGGCCGGAAGCGGCACAGTGGCGAGACTGCTGGGAGGGGTAAGGCTGGGGCTTGGTCCACACTGAGGCCCACACCTGAAGAGGTACCATCCAGCTTCAGCCTCCAGGGAATGCAGTCCGGGGAGGCAGCCATACACGCCTTCCTTCAAGAAGGAGTTTCCAGATTTATCCTGAGAACCGGATTTGAAAGGCACACAGAGCCTGGCATAGTGGTGCATGCCTGTAATCCCAGCACTGTGGGAGGATGAGGCAGGAGGATCGCAGCTTTGAACCCAGTCTGGGCAATTTAGCAACTTAGTAATATTCTGACTCAAAATTTCAAAAATTTTAAAGGAACTGGGAATATAGCTTAGTGCAAAAGTCCTGGGTTCAAGCCTCATTGCTAAAGGAGAGAGAGAAAGAAAGGAGAGAGAGAGAGAGAGGAACATGGGGCCATGAAGCCCCTGAAGGACCCAAAACAAACTGTATTTACTTTATACAGCTTTGGAAACTCAGCCTTGTGTTCAGTCCATCTGGGTTCAAATTTCAGCCTCACCACTTATCAGAGGCATGACTGCAACCAAGTGAATCACTGCTCAGAACCTGTTTCCTCAGCTACAAAATGGGGACAATACCACCTAACTCCTGTGGTTGGGGTGAAGGTGAAATTAATGTTTATAAAGTGCTTAACACTTGGCACATGGGCATTGCGCACAAAATGTGAGTGTTTCCTGTTGGGATTTTTTAATTGATCTGGCGGTGCAAGGAGTAACTGTCCATGTGACCTTCTGTCTGTGTGTGGCTTCTGCCCCCATGAGCGTATTCTCCAGGACTCAGAAGATCTGAGTTGCCTCAAAATCGCTCCAGGCCAAGCCAAGGGCCAGACTACCCAGGGCAGATAAGGGGAGGGGTTACAGAGCCTTACAGAGCCGTCTGGAAACAAGGTAAAGAGATCCATGAGGCAGAGCCCCCTGCAGTTCCCCTGGAAGCTGTTTTGACTGAAGCCGCCATCAAGGGCTTCTGTCCCTCGCACCTCCTACCGCCTACCAGAGGCCAGCTGGCATCTGCTCCTGGGAGGAGAGGTACCCTGCTCTGTGCTCTCCGAAAACCACTCCATCTTTCTCTCTGCACATCTCAGATGACCATCAGAGAAGGAAACCAAGGCCGGGAGAGAGGAAGGGACACACCCACAGCCCCACTCTGCAGGCCATGGCAGAGTTGGTGCTCAGATCCAGGCTCCTCGTCCTCATCAAGAGAAGGACTTTCCACACCTGTTGGGACGTAAGGAGGGGAGGACCCCTATTGGGTCCCTGAAGACAAGGGCTCCCTGGTCACCTTTGTACCCCAAGTTTCTGAGAAACAAGATCAAACTCCAGTTGCTCAAGAGTGGCCCGTCCTGGAGTACACAGGATCCTTTTTCTGTGCTCAACTATGTCTCACCTGTCTTCCCACCTGTTTCCCTCCCTGGGACATGGTGACAGGTGGTAGCATTCTTACCTGTATGCAATTAATATTTAACATCTCTTCAGCGTCACTGACCCAATATCTATTCAGCAGAGGCAGGGGAATCACCCACCTGCACAGCCTGGCCTATACACTGCAAACAAGTCTACTTCCTGTCCCTTGGCCAAAGGTTAACTGTCTTCACCTTGTTTATTAGACAGCTGGACTATTCTCACTGGGCTGGTGGGGCCAGCGAGATACAGAGGTGTTTTTATTAAGACCCACAAACATCTCTTCCACCTCACAGGACCACACAGGGTACAAACATTCCAAAAATGATTCTCAGAAGGAGGAGTCTGAGGGCCTGGCTCCGAATCTGGGACACTGTCAGGTTGGCCCTGTCAGGTCTCTGGCCCGTCAGGCAGCCCAGGCCTGTAGATGAGCTGGAACCAGTTAGAGGACAGGTGTCCAAGTCCCTGGGGACCCTGCCATTCCTGAGAGTCCCAGGCTCTGGCCCATACCAGGAAGCTCCATGGTCCTGCCCCACCCATCCCAGACAGGTAAAGTCCCAAGGTGTCACCTGCCTCTGAGGCATGACAGAGCCAAGCACAGACATATGTGAATAGAAACTCAGAGCCCCATTTTATCTTCTGGGGAAATATTCCAAGATCCCCAATGTGCCTGAAGCCCTAGATAATATGGAACACTGTTTGCACTGTGTGGTTTTTTCCTACACCTACAGACCCACAGTAAAATTAATATATAAATTAGGTGCCAGAAGAGATTAACAAATATTTAATAATAAAATGGAATAATGACTGAACTGAGTAAAATAAGGACTTGGCCCAGGATACCACAGATGGCTACTGACTAATGGGAGGATAGTGTACAATGTAGACCCCTTGGACAAGGGGAGAAATTATGTCTGGAGCCGGATGGAGCAGGACAGGCTGAAGTGTCACTGTGCTCCTCAGAATGGTCTGCAACTTAACACTTATGAATTGATTATTGAAGTCTCTATTTAACATTTCTCGGACTATAGTTGAATATAGGTAGCCACAGCAAGCAAAGCCACAGGTAAGGGTGTCATGGTTGAGATCTTAATAGCCCCCTGTGGGCTCATGTGTTGAAGGCTGATGGTGCTCTTAGGAGGTGGTGGAACCTTCAGAACATGGGGCCTAGTGGGAGCAATCAGGTCACTGGGGGTGAGCCCTTGAAAGGACGTTAGGGCTCTGGCCACTTCCTCTCTGCCTTTTTGCTTCCCAGACGCCAATGAGGTGAGCAGATTTGCTCTATCATGTCCTCCCCACCACGATGTTCTGCCCCACCATGAGCCAGAGAGCAACAGTGCCAGCTGACCGTGGACTGAACCCATGAGCCATGAGAAATCTTTCCTCCTTTATAAGTTGTCTCGGGTATTTTGTCACAGTGACAGAAAGCTGACTGATGCAAGGGGGTTATGATAGTAGCAGAAGCAGTGATACTAGGAAGAAAGAGGAAGAGGCATCTAACTGGGTCATTCGGCAGCACACAATCCTGATTGCTCTCCCTCCTATTCACCATTCTTCTCTGCTCAGTCATATTATTGATATTTTGGAAAGGAGGAAAATGTGGCTCAGAAAGGCAACTTTCCTTCATCAATTTGCTAAACTTGCCTCTTCATGAAAATCCCCAGGGAGCTTACTAAAAACACAGCTTCCCACCCACTGGGCCCTGCTAGATCCACAGCTCCTGGAGAATCTGGGGATTTTTTGTTTATTTGGTTTGGGGGTGGTTGGTACCAGGGATCAAGCTCGGGACCTTGTCCTTACGAGGCAGGTGTCGCACCACTGAGCTAAATTCCCTACCCGATAATCTGTATTCTTAACAAACTCCTTAGGGACTCCTCTCAGGCATGCTGAGGGAATGGTGCCCTCATACCAACAGTTTCCCCATCTGCAGCCTAAACTCGAATCCCTTGGTTCACCCGCTTACACCCCCAGATGGGGCAGGGGGTTCCAAGGCTGCAAGGCCCTGGGACCACATAGAGATGCCTGAGTTCCCACCCAGAGACGGGCTGAACCCTGGGGGATCCATAGAGGGCCGGATCCTTCCATATCCTCCAAGTCTGAGCGTCAGCCTGGACCAGCAGGCAATGACCTGTGTCACCTCTGAGGCTTGTCCCCTGTTGCTCTCCCCACGCTGCCTTCCAGACAGTGGGACAGAGCAGTAAGCTGAAGCTGCCATGACCGGAGAGGCACCTGCTGTTAAACTGTTGCTGGGGGACACCACTCCAAGACCCCAGCCCACTGCTCTCCCCAGGCTACTTGAACCACGATTCCCTCCTGCTGTAAGGAGAACACGGTACAGGAAGGTAGGATTTGACTGGGACACGTGAGACCAGAAGCTAGAATTGCCAGTGGTGCAAGAGTGAGAGCAGAGAATGTGAGGCAGGTACAATATCTGGGCTGAGGGAGGCCCCGCCAAGAGCTCCCCACTGCGGCCGTCAGGTGGAGCCATCAACCAAGGACGGTTTGGCTGCTCTCTGGAAACGTGGAGGTTGTATAGCTGGACGGAGAGGCAGGGTTCAAATGACTGTCAATTTGGCCACATGTCCAGGAAGAGAAGGAAAGAGAAAAAGAAAGAGGAAAAAGGGAGAACCAAGGAAATATGAGCCAAGTAGAATGCCAGGCATTTTACTTTTTTTTTTTTTTTTTTTAAACAAGGTCTCTCTATGTAGTTCAGGCTGGCCTTAAACTCACTAACTGTGTAGCCCTGGCTGGCCTCACATTCACAGTGATCCTCCTGCCTCAGCCTCCCAAGTGCTGGGATTACAGGCGTGCACCACCTTGCCCAGTCATTTTACACATTTTTGACAGCAATTTGAGTCTCACAACCATTCTGCGAAATAGACAGCTACAGTCTGAATGTCAGTACCCCCTTGATTCATACGTTGAAACTTAGTGCCCACTGCAAGAGTCTTAAGAGGTGGAGCCTTTGGGAGGTGATTAGGTCATGAGGGTTCCTCCCTTGACACTGGGATTAAACCCTTATAAAAGAGATTAGTGCACACCTGAAATCCCAGCTGTTCCAGAGGCCAAAGCAGGAAGATCACATGTTCAAGGGCAACCTGGCAAGATCTTGGAGGAAGAAGAAAGTGAAAGAGGAGGGGGAGGCAGAGGGGGAGGAGGAAAAAGAAGGGGGAGGGGAAAGAGGTGGGGGAGGGGAGGAAGGGGAGGAGCCACATCAAGTGTTCTCCCTCTAAAGTGCTATGAATGCTGTGGGGGCAGGGAGGGGTACAAAAGCAGAGGAGCTAGAAAGGACACACAGGATGCAGAGTAAGATTTGGGCTGCATGGCTCACTGGTGTTCAACCCCTCTTCCCAGTGAGGAGTCCCCAAAGCACTAAGAAGTGTGACAGGCAGTGTCAGTGGCCACCTGAGGCCCCAAGCCAGAGGGGCAGCAGCCTTCCCAGACCCTCTCCCAGTCCTCTGGAACCTGACCACGGGTTCCTTCCTGCTGGCCCCCTGCCCCTAACCTCCTGCCAGGACTGGGCTGGGGATTGTGCCCAGAACAGCTGGGGTGGTAGAGAGCAGAGATGTCACGCACCCGCTACCAGCCAGGGGTCCCTTATGAGCCCTAAAGATAGAGGCTCAGACGCACCCTGCCCCCTTGCTACCTTGGGAAAGTGTAGGTGCCAGGACCTGCAGTCTCTGTTTTTCAGAAAGGGAATCAGATCAGAGAAGCTGAGCACCTTCCAGGGGCACCCAGGCAGCCAGAGGGAGAGCTCAGATCTGAACTCCCACAGCGGGGAAAGCCATCTGTATCTGCCTTCCTCCCAGCCAGGCCTGAGCTGCTGTCCTCCACTTGAACAGGGGCAAGACTTGGCAGGAGGAGAGGAGAGGGAGGAGCAGGGGGTGGGGGCGCTCCACCTGTCACTGTGCCCAGCCATGCTAGAGGGAGAGGTTGCCCCCTGCCCCCACCCCCGCCATAGCTTCCCGTCCATTGTCATCACACCGTCCCAGCACTGCTATATATATAACTGCACCCGCTCCGGGCTCACATTCTTCTCCCTGTCCTCGCTGAGCAGAGGGCAAGAAGAGACCTAGGACCCTCTTACCCTCGGGGATCGGGACCTTCTCCCCAGAGGCTCCTAAGTGGACACAACTGCTTTTGTGAGTCATCTGTCTTCAGGGGTACGGGTAGAGAGGGAGCAAGGGAGACCCAGGTTTCTCTTGGGGAGTGATTGTGAGGGTGTGTGTGTGTGTGTGTGTGTGTGTGCGGGCACACACACAAATGTACACTGGAACAAGGCCTAAAAGATTTGTGCTTGTGAAAATAAGAGAGGGTCCCAGAAACCCCGCCCCTTCCCTGGGTCTTCTGAGCTGAGTCTTCTGTGTTGTGAAAGCTGAAAAAAAAAGGACCCTTGGGGATGAGAGAGGCCTCCAGAGCTGGAATACAGTCAGGGAGCAGCTACGGCAGGGATCCGGGGGAGCTGGTGCATTCAGCAAAGTTGTAGCAGGCTGGCCGCACCTGCTGACCCCACAGCAGAGACAGACCAAGCCCTGGGTCCCCAAACTCAGAACCAGAAGGGATTACATCCAGTGCCTGGGGTGACTGGCAGCAAATGGAGGACCAGCCAGGAAGGGAGATCCCTCCACTCATCAGGGCCAGGGCATCCTAACCTCTAGGGAGCTGGGGAAGCCACAGTGAATCTCAGCTCCAGCCGTCAGAGTCCACCTAGGCAGGATGTCTTTGCTTCTGCCACCCAGCGCAGCTTCTCTGGCCACCAAGTCTCTGAACTTCAGGCATTTCTCTCCCTCTCGAGGACGGGAGGGGCCTTCCTGGGGTCTGTGCAGGAGGAGACGGGTGCTGACCCCTCCCTGCAGCCCACAGGGAGTTAATGGGAAGAGGACACCCTAATCCCATGGGAAAGGACAGCAGAGGCTGCAAACTCGTCCCTGCTTAATCCCATGAATCAGTCAGTGCTTTAAAAAGCAGCGATGGCTCATCTGCTCCAGGGGGGGTCTGGTTGCTGGAGGCCTTGAGGTCAGGGATGAGTGCCAGGCCAGCCACAGTGCCAATCAGGACACAGCACCAGGGAAAGGGAGCCAGCAACCAACTCCCAGGAACGTTAACCCTCAGCAGCTGGGGCCAGGACCACAATGTCCCAGAAGGCATGGGTGCCTCACTCCACCCAGGATGGTATCCGGCAACTGTCCTGTTGGGCTGCGAGGAGGAGAGGGAGGCATGAGAGGGGATGGCTATTTCATGGGGTGTGGGGAGCCTCTTCCACCGGAGGGAACCAGAAGTGAGACCACAGAGGTTGAGTGTCCACTGATGCATTGATGAGATTCTCAGCAAGAGCCAAGGGAGCTTTAAGGATGGTCCTTGGTCACACACCACTCTGCGGCAACCCACTGTCCTTCCTGATGTCCACTGCTGTGGACACCCACGAGGACCAGGAAGGAGTGTCTGTCCACTGAGATGGATCCTCAACAGCCTGAACCCCCACATCCCACCCACACCAGGCTCCTTCCGGGCAAGGGATCTCGGGGGCCAGTGGGTTCATCTCTCCTCTATTACAGACCTAGAGAAAGGGTTCCTGGGTGCTGTGCCCACACCCAGGTCAGAAGACCACACGCACACACTGTTCTCCGTTCACACGCAGGGCTACCTTCAGCGGGCCCCTCGGAGAAGCTGAGGGTTAGAGTCCTGCCACCAGGATGCCCACTTTGTACACTGTGATCCCCTAAGGAGAAGAAAGGCCACGTGGCCCACTGTGACCCAGCCTCAGCCAAGGACTGGCCTTGAGTAGATCTAGAGGTCCAGGATAGAGGGGGTGGAGCTGGGCACACATGGTGCCAATCGTGGCCTGCAAACCACTCAGGTGACCTGGAGTAACTGTTTCCCCTCCTCCTCAGTACAATGAAAGAAAGTTTTCGCTGACCTATAGGCTTTTCAGTGGGGTTTTTGGTTTTTTTTTATGAGAAAAAAATCATGCTAATATCTGACACTAGTGGACTAGGGGTTTACTTACTCAGTGCCAGGCATTCATCTAACCTTTGTAGCTACCCTGGAAGGTTGGTAGGTCCATTTCACAGATGAGGAAACTGAGTCAGAGAGTCCAAGGTCACACACTGGAAGCTGGAATGAGGAGTTAGGATCGTAGCACCACAGCCCATGGCATCTGCAGCTGGACTTGGAAATGTGTCTAGTTAAGCAAGCAGGAAGAGGAAGGGGCTCCCCGGGACAGGAAACCAGGACCTAGGGAAAGTTCTGCAGGAGGGTGGGGACGTCTGCCTGTCCTGAGTTCTAAACACAGAGTCAGGCATCAATGTGTGATCCCTCAGGATCTGGGAAGCAAAGGCCAGAGAAGGGAACGTGTGGTCCCCAGCGGTGCAGTAGATCAGGCAGGGACCTGGTCTCTCAGGCAGGCCTGCTCACTCACTCAGGAGAGCACTCCAGGGGGTGGAGCAGCAGGACTCAGTCGGAGCCTACCTGTGTCCCAGTGGGCAGATCTCTCCTTCTCAGGCCGCAGTTCTCCTGTCCACCCACTAGAGAGAGGACCCCTCACCCCTAACCCTTCCATCTGGGGAGAGATGCACGGAAGGGATGGACAACAACCGATGAAAGGACTCACTGTGCATCCCGGCCTCGGCAGGTCATCGCTCTTGGAGCCATGACTTTGCCTCACAGCCCTGGAAGTGTGGGGGCCTCGCAGCCCCCAAGCGCCATCCAGGTGCACAGGCTGGAACACAGACAGGAGGAGGAGCAGAGGGAGGAGCGACAGCACAGCTTGCGCATGGGATCCTCAGTGCGCAGGAGGACCTTCCGCAGCAGGTAGAAACTTGGGGAGGTGTCGGAGGAAGAGGGGAGTCTGAAGAAGGGGGCACAGCCCAGCCCTCTGCAGATCCTCTCTGTTGGTGGAGCTACAGCCTTGCCCCTTGGAGGCCCCTGTCTGAGAGGGGAGGCTTAGCCTACGGGCCAGCACCCTAAAATCAGCCCTAGATTTGGGGAGCTCCCAGACAGATCCGCAGCCAACCCTGCAGCAGCCATGAACTTCCGTTTTCCCGGAGCAGGGAGGAAGAGCATCAGTTCAGCGCCGCCGACTACGCGCTGGCCGCAGCCCTGGCCCTGACGGCCTCCTCGGAGTTGTCCTGGTGAGTTACGTGCCCCTCCCCGGAGCCCGGCAGAGGGCTGCTGTCCTGGGCCTGTTCTTGCCCTCACGGCCTCTGTCACGCAGGGAAGCCCAGCTGAGGCGCCAGACCTCCGCCGTGGAGCTGGAGGAGCGCGGGCAGAAGCGTGTGGGCTTCGGCAACGACTACGAGCGCACAGAGATCGGCTACCTGAGCACCCAGAGGCTGCTGCGCCAGCGTCGGGACTGGAAGGCGCTGGGGCAGTGGGTGAGGCCCTGGGGAGCCTGGGGCCTCGGACCTGGGGTCCACGTGCCGCCATGCACACGCTCCTCCCTTCTCCAAAAGACATCGGGAAGGGGCCTAGGCCCTGAGTCTGAACCTCGGTGCCCCACCCTCTGGCTGCATGGCCTGGGGTGCTCTGGAGCCTTGGTTTTCTCCTGGGTGACACAGATGTGCTACAACAAGTCTCAGGGCTCAGGAAGAATTAAATGAGCCTGGGCCTGGTGCTAATCTGGTAACTGCTGGGATCTGAAGTCACTCTCATCCCCTTTCACGGGGCACACTGCCATGGGCTTTTTATGTCATTATTTGACACAGTTCTCCATACTGACCCATTTAATTCTCACTACAGCCCTTTGGGGGGGATGAGTATTATCATCATCTCCATTTTATAGGCAGTGAAACTGAGGCCCTGCCTATGGTCCTTCAGCCAGTAAATGACAAAATCAGACCTTGCCCCCAGGCTGTGCCCTGCACATTGGGCAGCACCACCTCTCAACTGGTGGGGAAAGGGGCTCAGCCCCTGTGGGCCTGACTCCAGGTTCTGGGTGTGGGGTGTAGGGGGTGATGGCAAAGATGGGAAGAGGCCATCCCAGGTTCGTAGGAGTCACAGATGCCCCTCCTGCCTCCAGACAGAGGAGAAGATCCGAAAGGCCAAGGAGCTGAGGGAGCTGTGTTCTGGCAGGGGACCCTGGTTCTGGATCCCGCTCCGCTCCCACGCCGTCTGGGAGCACACCACGGTCCTGCTGACCTGCACCGTCCAGGGCTCACCTCCGCCCCAGGTCACCTGGTAAGCCTCCCCCGGGAGGACTGGCTGCCTTAGCCAAGCCACATAGCCACGACCCCAACTCTGCCCATCCCCATACCCAAGAACAGCTGCTGGGGAGCCTTGAGCCTGGGTTATTCTTAGCTGCCTCCCCACCAGCCTGGGGCTGGATATGGGCCCCCCAGGGAATGAGCCTTGTAAAAATATGATTCTGGTGGTGTAGGAAGACAGCTGCTCTCAGCTGGGCGTCTCCAGGGCCAGAGGATGGTGGCAAAGGCAAGATGGAAAAGGGCAGGTCCTAGTGGGAGGAGGAGCTCAGGCCACAAGTGGGAGCCTTGTGTGCCAGGCCTAACTTTACTATGGTCTCAGTGTATCTCAACCTTTCTGGGTCTGCCTCAGTTTCCTATTCTGTGAAGTGGGTTGAAGACCTCCTGATCAACTTGCATGCAGTGAGGATTTAATGCCACCACAACACAGAAGTCTTTAGGAAACAAACAAGGAAAGCAGGAAAGGTCATTTCTGGGAGCATAACCAGAGCAGAACTAGGCCAGGCCCAACGGGGGTGGGAAGGGTTCCTGGAACAGAAGTGGTGCAGATGGGGTGCACCTGGCCATATCTCAAAAGGAGGTGCACCGTCCTCATGGTGCAGCCACTGTTTACTGAGTTCCTGGAGTCTAGGGCCCATTGCCCCTTCACATTGCCCCAGCATTTTTCTCTTATTTGAGCCTCAAGACTACTCTTGCTGAGGGATTGCTACCCTCATTTCACAGTTCAGACTAACAAGGCCCAGAGGGGTAGTGCAACTTATCTATGGTCACTCAGCAGCGTGAACTCAGGGCCTCTGCCACCAAGCTCACCACTCTTTCCCTGTGAGGGAGAGAGCCAGACAGGGATGATTAAGCCGTTATTTTCTGTGAAGTGCACAGAGTGTACTCAGGAGTGGAAAGTACAAAGCACTTAGAACAGTAAGAAAGGCGTACTGAGAGAGTCAGCACTGGGGCTCATCTCTGCCAGCTGTGCTTACTTGAGGAAGTATGCCAGGCACTGTGCTTGGCACCATGTCCCATGGGAACCAGGACAGTCCTACACACTGTGCTTGGCACCATGTCCCATGGGAACCAGGACAGTCCTACACGCAAGTGGCTAGTCCTCGTAGGAGGACTGCTTCCAACATGGCCTGGTCTCCCTGGTCAGAACCAGCCCCGAGGCTCATGTCTAAGGCACTGTGTGGCAACCTCTCAGAAAGGGGACTGATTTCCACTCCAGCCAAGGAGGTTGCTACAAACAGAGCAGCGAACACTCATTCCTTAAAGGAGGAAAGCCAAGGCCCAGTCCCCTCCAGCCCCAGTGACACAGGTGGCCCCCGAAACTCCCAGAGCTGCAAGGTGACCCATCAGCCCCCACTGGGGGCAGAGCCACAGGTGGTCCTGGGATTGGCTCCCCCAAGTTCCCATCCAGATCCCGCAGGAGATCCAGCCAAGTGGAAGATCCTGGCTGCACAGGTGAATGCATTCATTTGGCAATCATTGAGCACTTCCTGGATGCAGGGGTATCAAGCAGACTCATACACGCAGCCTCACTCAGGCCAAGCAGACACACCACACTCTCTCCTGGCACCCAAGAAAGGGACTCAGCTTGCTGTGCAGGCACAGGAGCAATGTATTTTTTAACGGGAAGGCTTCACGGAGGCTGTTCACAGATGGAGTCCAGAATTTGGGCCAGGGAAGCCTAAGTCGGGGCATTCAGGGACTCCCAACTCCTGTGAGGTGCCGGGGGCCTGGGCCAGAGGTACAGAGGGAAGGACAGAGGCAGAGGGTCAAGTGCTGGGAGGTGAGCTGGGGCTGGACTCAGATGCCTAGACTGTCCCTCCAAGGAGCTCTGGAGACCACAGAGAGCAAGGGAAGGTGGCAGCACCCATATCTATGCCTCTAGGGTCAGGAACGAGGTGCAGCTTCCACAGTGTGCCCAGGGAAAACTGCTGCACATGGAGTGTTAGAAACCCCAGCCCCCCAGAGACAGGACAAACTGAGGGAAGCCCACTACGGCCATGTTGAGCCGCAGAAGGGGTCTTGACTGTGAATCTCACTGTTGCCAGTTAGAATCAGGCACAGAGTTGTGCACTTACAATCCTGTTACCAGTCGGAGGGTCCCACAGAGCCTCTTTCCAGGTTCTTGAGGTCCTGAGCAAAGAATCAGACCCAGCACACAGAAGAGGCAGTGGAAATGTACATTTATTGAAAGCAGAAAAGAAGTACATCTGCTGAGTGGGTGTGGGCCAATGGAAAGGCTCACAGCACCCTGAGATTAGGGGAAGGGATCTTTTATGTCTGGTCACGTGCATGTACTTTCCCACAATTCACCCTTCTACCACTGTGTCCATGAGATGCCACTCATACTGAAGAGAAGATAATGCATTTGTCCTTGGCTAAAGGTTACTTTCAGATACCTTCAAGTGTTTCTGCACCACGCCTAAATTGGGAATTTCCTCAAGAACTGACTTATAAAAGCTACCACTTCGACAGGCTATTTTGGGGGAAGTTAGAGAGATGGGTCCCTGGGCAGGACCAGGACCCTCCAAGATTGATGGGGAGGTGGTCCTTAGCCCTTGATTTATAGGAAGGTGTGCCTTGGCTGGTGCTAACCCCTATTCTGTTCCCAGAACTGGGAAGGCTGAAGCAGGAAGATCATAAATTCAATGCCAACTTGGGCTACATAGCAAGACCCTATCTCAAAAACCAGAAATAGAGAGAAAGGAAGGGAGGGAAGAAGGGTAAAAAAGGAGGGAGGGAGGGAGGGACGGTTAGCTTCTCAATCTGAGCAAAAAGTAAAGTTTAACATCTGAATATAGGCAGACAAATAAAGGACTTAGAGAAGCAATACAAATCTCACTGTTTTATGAGGACCATTCTGAGTCAGGCTCTGGGAGACCCCCTTTAATATTACTGTTATCAGATTCTGCTTAGGACTGGCCACAGTGGGGAGACTGAGGCCCAGAGACAGATGGATGGGGCTGAGACCTCCGCCTTACAGGCCAGGGCCCAGGGCTGCAGCTGCCGCGTTCTCCCCACGGGCGAGTCTAGAATGTTGCAAACAGGTGTGGGTTGGGGCCCAGCCCAGGGCTTGGAGAGCTGCAGAAATTCGGTTGCCAGATTAGGCAGCATGCCCAGTGGGAAACTAGTTGGGCCTCTACTCTGAGAGGTCACAGCCTGGGGGCTGTGTGGGTGTGGGTGTGTTTGGTTGCCAGGGAGGCAAACAGAGCCCAGGGACCAGTAGCAAGGAAGGCAGTGCCCTGAGGCTGAGGCACCCTTTTTTGGCAATGAGGGGCACCTTCATCTTCAACCTGACCACCCATTCAATGGCCTCTGGGACCCAGAGGTCCAGAGAGGGGCACTGACTTGCCCACAGTCACACAGCAAGCTGTGTAAAGAACCCAGGTCTCCTAACCTTCACTGACACTTACTCCCCACTCTTGCCCCCTTAGGCCTCTGGACCTCCAGGCCACCCATACATTAGGGAGAAGGGGGCCCCAGAGTTCACAGACAACAAAGGAGGTGTCCAGGGCAGGGAGATCCATCTGACAACCCAGAGCTGTTTAAACAACACTGACCCCCGAGCCCCACCCCAAGAAATTGTTATTGCATTGGTAAATTCTAGTTCTTCAGAATCGGGGAGAATTGCTATTAATAGGAGGGCAATCAGCATAGCCTCGCGGAAGGTTACCTTCAATCACTAGGCATGGAAGGTTTTGTTCCGTGTTTGGTTTTGGTTTGCTCGCGATGCTGAAGCTCAAACCCAAGGCCTGGAGCTTCTTGGCAGGTGCTCTGCCGCTGAGCCACCCCAAAGCTCTGGGGAGGATTTGGATGAGAAACAAAACTGAGACCAGCTATCCTGAGAGGTTAGTAAGGGAGGTAGAGATGGAGAGCACCTTCCCTGAGAAAGGAGGGAACAGTCTGAGACTGGCTCCTGGGGAAGCAGCTGCCCCTAGGATGGGTTCTTCTCAGTGCCGGAAATGGAGAGTGGTTTGTGTGTGTGTGTGTTACTGGGGACTGAACCCAAGGTCTTCACACTGAACTACTTTTTGGAAACCAGGTCTTGCTAAGTCGCTAAATTGCCCAAGTTGGGCTCAACGTTGCAATCCTCCTGCCTCAGCCTCCCAGAGTGCTAGGATTACAGGTGTGTGGGAGGGAGTCTCTAAACATCCACAGTGTCCAGGGTGGGGATGGCAGCCCCAGTAAGTGGGTGCTACACACTTCCATTCCACAGGAGAGGGCAGCTGAGGCACAGGGCAGAGAAGGAGCAGGTGAGGGAGCAGCACAAAGATGGAGCTGAACCCTGGTCTGAGAGGCTTCGCATCCTTCCTTCTGGGAACCGTGCAGCCTGACGTAGTCACTGTGTCTCCGCAGGTACAAGAATGATGTGCGGATCGATCCTCGCCTCTTTCCTGCTGGCAAGTACCGAATCACCAACAACTATGGGCTTCTGTCCCTGGAGATCAGGAGGTGAGACTGAATCCAGAGACCAGTGACACCCCTGGGCCTAGAGAATTTCCTCCAGGCTTTCCACCTGAGTTTTCCCCATCTCCAAAAGTATACTGGTGCTCGTTACAATGCTGATTCCCAGGTGCGATTCAGATTCAGTAGGCTGGAGCAGCAGAGATGAGGCGGCCGGGCCGCCCCTCAGGGAGCTGATGGGCCCAGATGTGTGGAACACCTGTCCTCTTTGGCGCCGAGGTACCCTAGAGGGAGCCAGGCCACATTCCCGCTGGGAGCACGGCAGGGGCGGGCCTGCTGATGGTGAGATGCAGGCCAGAGACTGACAACTCCTGTGCCTGGGGAAGGTTTGTCACCTGGAGGCCAGGTTGCCCTGTGACTCTGGGCAAGTCGCTTTCCTTCTCTGACCCTCCAAAGTCAGTGATAACAGTATAATGTGGCACAGGACATTTTCAATGCACCTTCCTCTGAGCGCTTCCTGTCACACCCGTGTTTTCCACGGAGAGTGGGGCCTGCCTTTCCCCTAGGGCCTGGCAGTTGGTGGGGGGCCTTCATCCTCTGTGCTTTGCAGATGCACCATGGAGGACTCGGCCACCTACACGGTGAAGGTGAAGAATGCCTACGGCCAGGCCTCCTCCTTCGCCAAAGTCCTTGTCCGCAGTAAGTCCGTCCATTTCCGCCAGGCCAGGCCTTAGCAAACCCACCATGAGCAGATGCAGACATGGGTGTCCAGTCAGATCCAGGGCACAGGCTGCACAGCTAGGGCAGGCAGGGAGGCTCGCTGCCCTGGGCCTCCAGAGCCAAGACGTTCTTCTCTATCAGGCTGGCGTGGGCAGCAGGGCCATTGTGGTTGGCTGATGATGTGAGGCTGTGAGGCAGGAACTCTGCCCCAGGGGTAGGGCTCAGGAGCCACCAGGAAAAGGAAAAGGAAGGGGGTGGGTCTTTTCTGAATTCTGGCCCTCTGCCAGGCACACTGATAGCCACTCAGTCTGTCCTGCACCGGTCTGGACCCTGGCTGTTTCTGACATCATCTTTGGCATCATGGCATCTTCGTGTCACCAGAGTGGGTGAAATAGAAAAAAGCAGCCTTCTCCTCCAGGTGGGCACCCTCCCATGCTGGGCCACCTGACTCAACAAGTGGAAAACAATCTGCGTTCAGCCCCCACCTTCCCTGGCAGTGGACACCTTTGTGCAGAGCACAGCCTACACAGCTGTTCAACCCTGTGACCCTGCCTGCCTGTGTCCACAGAGCCTGCTTGTCCCACCAAGTCAGACTTGGGGCCAGATCCAGCCAAAGAGTTCAGAAAGGATGGTCTGGCCTGCCACGTTCCTGGGCCCAGTGCTGCGCCTGCCCTCAGGGACCCTGGGAAGCGTGCACAGGCATGCGCGTGCGCACACACACACACACACACACTCCCAGAGCAGCTGTCCTGGGCAGCAGTTAGGCTGGAGTCCAGTCCCACCTCTCACAGACCTTGTTAAGCTGTCCTCCTTACCCTCGGCCCTGTTCCCCAAATAGCTGTTGGGAAGCAGCTGCCAGGTGGCCTCTCTGAGCAGAAACCTGAGCTGATTCAGAGGCTGTACCATGCCAGAGTCCAGCCCAAGGTCAGACATCAGGCCCAGCAACCCCCTGCACCCATCCTGCCCCTCACTTCAACTAGGTCCCTGTCCCTCCTGCCACCAAAGCCAGCCACTGGGGGACACACCAGCCAGACTGCACCACACCCCTGTGAGGGTGCCTCCTTGCACCCCCTCCCTGCTCCCATCCCCATGGCAATTTCAGGGACTGGAGTGGAAGCCCCAGGCTAGGAAGCAGAAGCCCTGGGTCCTAATGCTGCCTTCCACTGGCTCCCTGTGCAACCAAGGCGGCCTTCTGCCCCCTTAGAGCTCCCCCAGGAAGGGCCTTTCCAAGGACCAGGGTCACATCATGGCTTCCAGCTGCTGAGGTTCACTGAGTGACTCTGCTTCAGCCTCCTCATCTTCATGAGGAGATAATCATGGCGCCCACAGGCAGCTATCAGGAGCGATGGAGCTTAGGAGCAGCACACGGTAAGCGCCAAGTGAGCAGTTTCATCCCTAAGCCTGAGGGCAGCTGCACCTGTGCTGATCCCACCAGAAATCCCAGAATCTCTGACCAGGCCCAGCCCTGTGAAGACAGTGTGTGATCCTGGGAACCAGCTGGGGCCGAGAAGGAAAACCTACATTTATAGAGCGCCTACTGTGGGCCAAGTTCCGGCTGAGAGCTTTATTCACGTGACCTCATTCATTCCTAACCAGATACCATTAGGTAGGAATTAATGTCCCTCTTTTACTGATAAAGAAACTGAGGCACAGACAGGTAAAGGCAGAAGCTTCTGACAGATGGACTGCAGTGGCCCATGGCCCCCAAATGCAGTAGGAATGAGGGGTCTGAGCCCTTTCCGATCCTGTTTGCTTTACATTTCCAGCTTACCTGGGGAAGGAGGCTGGCTTTGATTCTGAGATCTTCAAAAGTAAGTGGGCTGGGGAGTGATGGGCTTCAGGGAGCGGAGCGCATCTGGGACACTTTGTTCAGGATTTGGCCTCGAATAGTACTTTTCAGAAGAGAGCCACCCTTGCTCATAGATGGCTGTCCCCTCAGAGATGACACTCACTAGATGTTAATGCTCTAGACTGGCTTCTAAGACCAATGTCAGAGCTTTCCCTAGCTGCCAAGCCATCCACCAACCAAAACCAGGCTAGAAGGCCAGAAGACAATGGGACTTGGGCCCGGGGATTTAGCTCAGTGCTTCTGGCTCCTGTCTCAGAAACACAAAGACCCAAGTTCAATCCCCGGTACCAAAAAAAAAGAAGACAATGAACTTGGCCTTGGGCCATTGCTATTCTGGTTTACAGAAGCCTCCTCCCTTCCACCCCTAGGACTAGGCACCCCTTCTTGTCAACCCCACCTCTGGAATCCTGGCCCTGAGGGAGGAGGTACCAGAAAGGTTCTCACTCCCACCTAGGCCCCTGGCATCTCAGAAGACCCCAATTTCTGTCCCAACCCCAGGATCCCTGTTCGGCGCCAGTGTGGAATTCACATCCGTGCTGAAGCCCATCTTTGCCCGTGAGAAGGAGCCTTTCTCCCTGTCCTGCTTCTTTTCTGATGATGTGCTAGATGCTGAGCAGAACATCCAGTGGTTCCAAGATGGTGAGGACCCTGGTCCTGGCCCCTGGCCCTCACTGGCAAACCCCCATCTCCCCCTGAAGCTCGGCTGAGAGGGACCAGAGCCCGGTGTCTACCCCTGACCCTGGGACCAGCATGAGAGTCAGCACTGCTCCTCCTAGGCCAGCACTGGCTGCACTGTCTGTGCTAAAGAGAGTTGGGCTGCGGCACAGCCAGGCAGGGTTACCAAGGATCTGCAGGATGCCAAGCCGTATGCTGGGGCCTAGGTAGTGGTGTGTACAGATACGAGTTCCAGAAGCTGTCTGTCTGTCTGTGAGGTAGGAGGAAGCCATCAGCAAATTACAGCTGCTGCCTTGAGTCCTGCCTATGGACGTGGGGCAATGGCTGGAGCCTCTGCCTGCATTGTCACCACCCTAGAGTGAGCAGCAGCACTCACATCAAGAGGGCTGGAGCCAGGGCAGGGGTCAGGAGAGCCCCACGAGTGCTCAGAGCAGGCTGTGTGACTTGCAAAAGGGCTTTTCAGATTCATTGTGCAGGTGCCTTCTGGGGATGTCACAGAACGGCTGGAGCAGGCTGCAGGGCTATGGCAGGAAGAGGCCGGCCCAGGATGGAAGAAAAAGACAGCCAGGGCTGCCCCATCTGTGAGACAGGACCGCAGCCAAAGGACAAGGAGTCAGCTCCCTGCAGCACCCCAGCTCTGAGCCCAGGGAGGCTGCACCTGCTGCAGGTGGAGAGGAGAAGCCATAGGAGCCCAAGAAACACCTGCTATAACAAGCCCAGCAGTTTCCCCAAACCTGTAATCTTCCAGATTAGAGGTGCTGTGAGGAGGGGGAGCCCCTGTCTGCAACAGAGAAGGGGTGACTCGCCAAGGTGGCCTGGCAGAGCCACACCTGGAGCCCCTCTGGGCCTTTTCAAATCCCCATCAGCTCTTAGCACTGGGCCCTAGCCCTTCAACCAGGCCTCCACCCTCCTCCCCAAGAGGCCCCAGATCTCTCCATTATTAATCCCCCACCTCCAGCAACCCCGTTCTCTCCATTAAACTCACAGCTCCCACCCACTGAGCCCCTCTTTCCCCACTGAGCTTCCCTTACCTTCAATAAGCCTGTTCTTTCAGACTCCAACTTTATGCAGGGCCCAATCTCTCTTCCTCATAGCGCCCCACTTTCTCACCTTGCCAACTGTTCCTCCAAACCTTCACCATCTCTCTGATCCCCAGCCCTGCCCTATCCCCAGCCTTCTGCAGAAGCTGCTCCTTGGCAGAGCCTAGGCTCTAAGCTGAGCCTCACGCTGTGGCTTCAGCTGCGCTCTCTCTCTTTTCCCAGCCAGGGCTCCAGACTCCCAGAGCTTCTACAGTTCCCAGGGGAGGCCAGGGTTCCCCCCTACAAGCTCACAGTGGAACCCTTTATCCTCCATAGGCAGGGCCCTGAGGTCCTCAGGACGACGGCAAATCCTCTATGCAGACCGCCAGGCATCCCTGAAAGTGTCCCACGCCCACAAGGAGGACGAGGGGCTGTACAGCATCCAGGTTTCCTCACCCTTTGGTCCCCAAGAGCAGAGGGCCTATGTATTTGTGAGAGGTGAGGAGTGGGGGTAAGTGGCAGCTGGGGTGCAGAGACCAGGGCTCTTCAGGTGACTGGCTGCGGAGCCGCCTCGGCCAGGTCCCCTAAGCTCTTGGCATCTCCCTCTACTCTAAAATGGGGTGTTGGGTTAGAGTCTAAGAACCCCTGTGGCAACTCACCAAAAAGACCTAAAGGACCAAAAAGGACCCTGCCAGGAGGCTTACTTTCGGGTCAGATGGTATTGGTTACTGTTTGGGGTTCGCATCCCGGTTTGGTCACTCCATTCACTGGGTGATCATAGACATGCCGCCTTACCTCTGAAGCTCAGCTTCCCCCTCTCCAAAATTGCTCTGGGGCTCAGAGATTCATTATCCCAGTTGTTCAGGTGCTTGTGGAAAATGGGCCTCTGATAAATGACACTGCCTCCCCATCCCCAGGTGCTGCTGTTGAGGGGTGGGGTACAGAGGCTGTTACCCAGGCCGTGGTCCTCAAGAACAAAACTAGGTCCCTGGAGGACTCAGGAGAAGCAGGTGTTGGGCAGCAGTGGGAGTGGGAGGGGCTGGTTACCAAATGGCCACTGACTGAAGAGACCCCACCCACACCCCCGGCTTCAGATGCTGCAGCTGAGAAGCCTGGAGCCCCAGGCTCCCCACTGAATGTCCACTGCCTGAATGTGAGCAGAGATTGCCTCATCCTGACCTGGGCCCCACCCAGCGATACCCGGGGCAATCCCATCACCGGCTACTCCATCGAGCGGTGAGTCGGCCTCTGCAGGGACCCCGGGGCAGGATTCTGCCTGGCTGCAGGAGTGGAGCCGCAGGCAAGAGGAGCCCACACCTGGCCGTGGGGATTCCCCCATCTCCAGTCCTGAGAACAGGGCAGGGGGATGACTGCGTTGTATGATTTTGGGGCACCCATGCCTCCAACTTGCTGGCACATTGACACCTGGAATTCTGGGGTGACACAGGAAGCGTCTGAAGACTGAGCACTGTGAATTGGCTTGCTTCCTCCCTCCATGTCAAACCTGGAAGGAGAGCACAAGGCGAAGAGGTCAGGCCAAGAAGCCCCAGCTGACAATATTGCCCGATTCTTCCACCCACAGGGGCTGGCTGGCTGCTGCCCATCCCCCGGGCGAGGTGGTCTCGTTTCTTCTTTACAGTCAGCCCCCTATAAAGTGGGGCTTTCTAACGCCACTCCTTCAGATTGGGAAAATGAGGTACCTAAGGAGATGATTTACCCAAAGTCACACGGCTCCATTAGTGGTGAAGGCAGTTCCAAACCAAAAAGGCACATGTGCTGCCTTCCTGCTGCGGGCAGTGGTACCCATAAGGCACCGAGAGCCTGGCCTGGTGGGTTGATCTAGAAGGTCCATCATTTAGGGCAGTGGTGGCTGCTTGCTATCTTGTTAAGCTCTAAAAGGTTGCCATCACTGGCTTAGGAGGTGGGCAGCCCTCCAGGAAACCCGCATAGTCCTCTCACCCTCTGGCAGCAGACACCCCTCTCAGGAGGACCAGTAGAGACAGTGGGGCGAAGGGCACAGCCCCAGCAGGCACAACTCCATGGGAGGCACTGGCTGTTCTGATCAGTGTGATGTGGACATGTGGGAGAGGCCAGGGGCTAGAGCCAGGCCTTTAAATCAGAGAGGACGTTAATCAGCAGAGAAGAGCCAGGTGGGCAGTCCCAGTCAATCAGCGGCAGCTTTAGATGCTGAAGTAGAAGGCCAGACCTCTGCGATGCCTCCCCTGCCTCACAAGCACAAGATTATGAGTTCAATATTTAGTACAAAAAAAAAAAAAAAAA